TTTCTAATTATTTGAAGAGAAATGGTATAAGTACCTTATTTGAAACTAATTTTCTACACTATTTAAGCATCTTTTAAAATTAAGTTATATAATTGTCACGATTATTTCTTCTATTTAGTGTTTGTTTTGTGTGAGATGGTTTCTTGGAATGGTAGAAAGCAGTTACTTCGCACATAACATGCATCAAGCAGCATAGGTTACAATATGTTTGATATATCTTTTCAACTATTTATCAGAATAGCTGGGACTTTATTCATTTAAGATGTACACCTTTGTTATATATATGTCTACAAACTTTAAAGATATGTACTTTAAAAAACTTTAAAAATTTTTGTAAATTTTTCTAATTGCGGTAAAATGTTGATGCTATATTTCGAACTGTTGAATTAGCAACAAATTTTGCTGCCATTCGTGTTGTACCTAAAATATTCGCATTAGCTGTATAATTATACTATTTCTTTAGTAACCTTTTTAATAGTACTTTTTATTTACAAGGACGTGTAAAACACTAGGGAAGTGTTTTACACGTTTTTGTTATTGATAGGATTCCTAAATCACGTACTTTCTTTGACATCTTTGCGTGCTAGTGAAGTAGTATTATTGCTAAAGGCCTTTTTAACCATTTACTAACTCTCAAATTTACTAATAATAACAATCTATTAACAAACAAAAATTGAATGGATTTAAAATTGCGTTATCAAATAAAATCAAATTTTTTTCTTTTATACGTATGCACTTTAGTGTCTATGAGTAGATAACAAATTTTGGTTTATAACTTTTTTTATATCCTCATTTAATTGATTTATTTTTAAATTATGAATAAAATTAAAACATGCAAATTGACTTTACGTATAGTTTACTATTGCGTTTTCTGATATGAAAAAACATATTTTTGAAACAATCAAACGTATTTGCATAGAACGCCAACAGTTATATTGCACATTTTACGAAACAATATGTAATTAAGTTTTCTCTTCACAAAAGCATCAAAAAAATATATTCACAATAATTTGTAATTTTTAAATTATTCTACATAGAAAATTTAATTTAATTAACGCGTTCATTTAAAGTAGCTGAGAAGAAGCACTTAAGTGCGTTAGTAAGTCACTTATTACAGTCAACTGAATTGATTGAACTACATTCAGTGGAAGTACATTTTTACGTTACTTCTACTTCTACTTTTTTTAATATTTTTTGTAATTGTAACACTTTTTTATGGCTAAGTTAACTTAATATTTAAATATACTTAATGCTTTTTGGAGTATTATGATACTGTTCTGTTAACCATAAAAATATGGATTCTACACTTTTTTCACTCAGTGCAAACATCAGGGTAGAAGAAAACCAATTTATTGACGTGATGTCTAAAATTGTAGTGAGATATGAGATGTGTCTAACGAAAGAACCCAATTCGATATTGTTTTGGTGAAATGAAAAATTATTTTACGATGGAGTACACTATGAAGCAAGTAGTCTGTCTTTTTTCTTCTTCCACTTGCTTACAACTTTAATCGAGTGGCTTTTTGCCACCACAAGTCTACAAAAGTGAATCATTTAAACACCCTTACACTAGTACTATTGTTTGAAAGTAACTTAGCTTATTGAGAATTTTTAGGCAATCATTTATCGTTTTTGAAGTAGTCGTTATAGACTGGATTGTTCTTGATGCCGTTTGATTAACTTATTGTATGTAAAAGTCTTTTCTTTATCTTTTTGTGAACATATTCTTTTACAAATATGTGTTTCGATGCCTCTGTTTGCACATAAGTTGAACACTACAGTGAACTGGAAACAATCCAAAATAACGTGGTCAAGTCGTTACTTACCGGAATTAAAATCCTACTGAGCAGAGATAAGATCGAAATATCCACTGGTCATCTAAGTCCTTTCCCTTTCAAATACAGAAATGCAGAAGCTCAAGGAAGAAATAAACAATTACCTAGGCCTGGCAAGATGCCAATATTCTATTATGGAAATTGACGAACTATATTTTTAAATATATTTCTTTTGAAAATAATATTTATCAGCCACACAAATAAGTTTTCAACTTAGAATTTGAGACATTATTTGAATGTGTGAAAACAAAATGGAGCCTATGTATTACTTGTGTAGAGAATGTTGGAGTGGTGCCTCTAAAATCAAGTATTTTCCCATGAAAATTGATTTTTTAAGTCTTAACCCATATCTATGTGTACATAGTGAAAATAATTTCTCTTCCCTATTGTGCATATATACTTTCTTCCAATAAAGCATTACGAGGGTTATTTCGACCATCTTTAATTCGCTATTTGTATGTATTTGTTTTTTGTTTTTTGTTTTTTGTTTTTCGATTTTTTATAAAAAATCAAAAATGCTAAATATTAAGGTATTGTAGATATAAAATGCTGCAAATATATAAAAAACATAAAATTATGTTTTTGTTTGTTTTGCATATATTGTGGAGTGTTTATGAATGCTCAGCATAAACATTTGTCATGAATATTGCAAATCCTGCGGTAAAAAGCAACTTTTTTTATGTTAAGTTTTAATCTTTTTTGAAAATATTTTAGAATTTTTAGTGTAAAAATTTTTGCTTGTCATACACAAATTTTAATTCATTTAAAATATATAATATTTTAATTAAATATTGCAAAATTTTGTTCATGAAATTGTATTGTGCATTGTTTTAAGTGTTTTTTATGATTGTTTTAGTTTTTATTTGGCTAAGTGTTTTCTTATCTAGATTTTTTTTGTTGTTTAGTTTTTTTTGGAGGCAACGATCTAATTTCGATATTTGATATCAGCATTTTGTGTTTAGTGTACCTACATAGTAACAAAAAGTGTAGGTAAACATTTTCTTATTGAACTTTTCAAAAAGGCCTTCGGCAGAATATTTTTGCATATATAGAATATATTCCCTATTAAATATTTAAACAATTGTTTTTGCTGTTGAAGTTGGTAATGTTAATGTTAATATTAACATTAACAGATGTCGTGCAATGTTGAAATGTTCTGTTAAATTGTCGTCAGCAGCTTCGTACGGTTTCATTTTTCAAACACTATAGATACCCGTATTTTGCTGATATGTTATTTGTTTGCCCTGACGTGTTACACTTAAGTTACGCACTCACCTATGGGAAGGTTTCCTTTTTAATTATTTAAAGTGCATTTGAATAGAAATTATGCCGCCAACGATAAGCAAAAACATTTGTAATTTAATTTGTAGAAAACTTCTTGGCCGCTATTAGATTAGATAGGAAAACAATTATAATTAATAAGATTGTTTAAAAAAAAAACTAATTAAAATTTACAAGCACGACTTCAGTTTCTATTGCAAATACTTTATTCTAGTTTTTGACAAAACTTTGCAATTTATCTGAAACTAATTAAGAAAAGAAAAGAAACTAAGTGAGGGGAAAATATTTCAAAAAAATTTATGTATTTTATCAGTAACAATGTATTTGATCACATTTCCAATATATTGTACACATTTGTAAGCACAACGCCACGGCCTCATCACTGCAATATATTTTTAGATTACAGATTGTCAGCTTAATCTAAGTTATGGCATATTTTATGAGTGAAAACATTAACTCTAATATGTGCTAATATCAGTGAAGCTCATAAACTCGCCTTACTTGCCTATTGTACTAAGTATTACATTTAAAATTGTAAAACATTTTAATTTAAAAATAAAGTTAGTTGTCACAATAAAGATACATTTGCTGCTTTAAAATATTTTTTTAACTTCACATTTGTAATTTGTTTTTTTCGCAATTTTATTATACTTTTCGCTTGAATTACTTTGTAATGCAAATACCAAGAAGAAGAACACATAAAAATAACCTCCTAAACTTTTTTCTAGCAAAAATATAAAGCGCAAATCAAAAATTGTAAGTAGATTCGACATGTGCATCCTCTTTTGTGATACCCAGAATATACTTAAGACTATGAATGCACACATAGACTTGAGTAAATTGAAATCAAGCATATAGGTATTCTTATTTAGAAGTAATTTGGTTGTATAAAATAAAAATTTACCTTTGTTTATTTTTTTATTTATTTTTTTTTAAGGCCAATGAAAATACTTAGTTAAGCCAAATTTTTAATTCCAGCAAAATGTTTATTATTATTATTGAGATTTAAAATCCTAGACCAAATCTCTTATTGTTGCAGTTTCTATTTCGCAACGTTACGTACGATTGTACTATAAAATTAATTTATAGCTGGATTTGAGCTTGGTAATTGCTTTTTCTGCTAACAGAATATTGTATACATATACATTTATTCCTAGAAATGAAAATTATAAATTCATTTAAAAATAAAATAACATAAGTCAAGTCCTTTTTCATCTGAAACTCACTTTTGTATCTTTTATAATCCCAATATGTAACAGGGTCGCTAAGAGGAACAGTAGTAGTAGTAATATAGATTACGTGTACTTTTTGCTCGTGGTAGAAATCGTTCTTTGTAATACACGATATAAAGATCTACACGAAATTGCCAAATATTGCCAAGAACAATTGCGAGTAGCAGATTATAATATAGTACACATATTCACAATACTGTTTGTGATACTATATATCAGTATATAATAAGTTATAATTTTGTAAAAAAACTTAAGAAAATCAATTGAAAAACACAACTCAGCCGTTTAGACTATTCCCCATATTCGGACTTCCACGGCATTAAATGTCATCGATGTATATACGATGACTATTTTGTAACAGATAGAATGCTATTAAATTTTAACTTGAATTAGTAAGTACAGGTAATAATCTTAATTTAACATTACATATTGCAGGTGAAGAATTTTATAAATTTTTTAACTTACTGCTGAAGACTCACATACGGTTTCATGTATTCGCCTATGCTTAATTTGAATTTTCTTTTCAATATTTCGAATTAAAGTTATCAAATGTAAACAAAATTAACTAATTTTAAATATTCTTTTATATCATGTATATCTTTAAAATTTATCTATGTAAATGTATTTGCTAAAATTTTTTTTATATTTTCAGAACTAAGGAAAACTTTTAACTACTAATTAAAATATAACTATGACATTTGAATCATCATTAGAAAAGTGGTAAGTAATTTATTGCTTTAAATATCTTTTTTTATACAAAATAAAAATATTCAACTGAGACCATTATATAATTTAAAAAATAAAGGAATTATAGAATTTCCTATAGTGACGTTCAAAAAACTTGGCAACTCAATGTGAGACGGGTTAACAAATTACCTTAGTTGAACTTGTGATCCCATTATGACCATTGAAAAGATAATGTTTGGTCTTCGCTGCACTGTTCTACCGTGTCATTTTAACATCCTTTTAAATAGTGTTTTGGTCATCATAGCCAAGTGTATTCTTAATGTGGATTCATTCGCTGCTGAAACCTCGATTAATGAATATAGTTTGTTTCGTTTTGTTTCAGTTACATATTTAATTTTAATTATTAATTTAATATTTCTTGATATTTCTCCTTTTAAAGCATTTGTATTATATTGTACAATGTATTATATTAACATATTACTTTTGTGTTTTATTTGATATCAAATAAATAAATATCTTAAAATGTGATTCTAGTTTCTTTCAAAAATAAAAAAATTCCCTAACTCGAAATCTCCATAATTCGAACCTCTTCTTTGCAAAATGATACTTCGAGTTATGTATATATATATATATATATATATATATATATATATAAATCGTATATATAAAATGCAGCAAAAAATGCAGCAAGGCGCCTATCAATTTCTTAAGTCACGTAATTTGTATAAATAAAATGCGAAATGTATTCAGTTGCAAATTTAAATTTTATGCTGCCACACTCCAACCTTAAATTCAGCTTAAACCACAACAAAAAACACATTTCTGAATAATTTATTTATTAACTTTATAAACCTCCTTTTGGAATGATATACTGTTTTTACATGACTTCACAACATCTCCCAATAGATACAAAACTTCTCAAAGTTGAAATTTATTAAAATAATTGAAATTTAAAATTCTTCATTTACATAAAAGAGCCAAAATATGGTAAAGGTGTGAAAAACTGCAAATATTGGCCAAATATTTCCTTTTGTATCTGCATCAGTACTTTTTTTACATCTTTTGTGACAGCACGTGCGCAGATTGACACGGTTAAATGCTACTATCAACGGGAACATTTCCATTTCCATTCACATCATCATCGTCGTCATCATCACCATCATCATCATTGTGTGCCTGAAATTTAACTGCAACATATAAATTAAAAAATAAATAACCTAAACCAAAAGATAGGCAGAAAAAGATTGCAAATTAAGCTGTTTGCTATGGTAATAAAAACACACGCTACTTCCGGCATTTGCTCCACATAGATCAGTTAAAGGTAATAAGTTAAAAAATTATCTCAACTTGCTAACCTGTTACTTCGCTGAGTGCGGTATTTACAAGTTCACTCAATCATTTCAAACTAACTCTGGAATAGAACTCTTCCATGTTGGTGCATTAATTTCTGATTAATATCTTCGCCTAATCACTCTCGCACTCTGCTTCGCAAATATCGAATTAAACAGTTTTAGCGTTTTCAAATTTTGTGTGTTGTACGGCTACTGTAACTCAGGTGTCGTCATGCATATTAATTAAAAAAACAAGCGCAATTAAATATATCAAGGCACTTACAGTTACGCTCTTTTCGTGCTACGAAATTGGAGATATATTCGAACTTTTAATTAAACATGTCGAGTACTCAGCATTTCATACCAATCCGCGAAAAAGTTCGATTGATTTTCAGTGTACGCAGAAAATTAAAACAGTTTCAATAAAATATTATTATTTTTTAACAATTGGTCACAGTTGTTGGCAATTATTCCATGCAATCTACATTGGTTTTCTACTTGTTGGATTTTGTACTAGGTGAATAACCGAAACCGTTACCTTTTATGTACATTGGCATTCAAAAACAAAAATAACGTAAATATGTTACGTTTAAAAACGTGAAAAAATACACGTAATTATGTATATCTTAAAATTTCCGAAAGAAGTTTTAGGATTACGTACATTACTAAAAAAAAGTATCGCAAATCCTTATAAAAGTTTAAGGTGGTGATTGCATAGAACTTCAGTACCCTAAATAGTACGCGATAATATAGGATGTGAAAAAATAACGAAAATTATGAAATTAAACACACTTTATAGATTGCACTGCCAATGTACTTGTCAACTATTAGTCAGTAGTTTATTGGTTTATGTCCAATTCTGAACGAAATGCGCTACAAATTCTATCGGAAACATACTCTTACAGAGCAGGAAATAATAGAGGTATTAAACGTTGAAAACTGAGCCGCACTCTCTTGTTATGTAAAAGATGCAATTAGTTACAGACAACGAATAATAAATGAAAATTTTTAGTTTTAAATAAATTAGAACAAAAACGGGATAAATTACTACAATTCTACTTTAATATACTTTAAAATATACTTTAATTTGCTTTAGAATACTTCTTTATTAGTTAATTAGTTTGTTGGCAGACGGCATTTGGGCCATGCCTTTAGTTCAATAAGTAACAATATTTCAATGTGCAAATATTTAGTAATTTATTTATTAATAGCATAAATTAACGTGTAAGATTAGTTTTAAGATTGAACTAAAATAAAAATACTACTACTACTACTACTACTTCTACTACTATAAGTGTATTAGTGTTATATTGGATTCGAAAGTTTTTGTTATGTCGGATCACAAAAGGATCTTGTCTTAATAACAGAAACTGAAGTGAAGCATTTAAAATCTTAATTAAAGTTTTTGATGCCAATACTACTGTCATATCTATAAGTTTATAAATAATATAAACGCTTTCAGATTATTTGAGAAAATACTGCTGCTGACGCAGGTCTTGGCTTTCAAACATGTCTATCAATGACTAGTATGTGAAAATATTATGTTATATATGTATATATATAAAGGATGCTAATGATGTAGGAATATCATACGAGTCATGAAAAGAGTGACAACAAAATAAGTTGTTTATTCCACATACGGTAATAAGCCTATTTTCAAGATATGGAACTATGTGAATTTCCTGAAAGTGCTTAACGAATAAGCCACTCGCTTTACAATGATGCCAAATCTTAAAACTAATCTATTGTAAATGATTTTCAGAAGAAAATGAAAAACTCCAATGAGTCAATGAGTAAATTTAAATATTTTAAAAAAGTAATTTTTTTAATAAAATTTTTGAAGAAGACTGACAGATAAGTAATTGTAAAGAAGTCATTCGTCAATTATTTATTAAGGGATTTATAATTTCTGTATTATAAATACAGAACATACAGTATGAATAAATACAAAACACAATCGTTACAATAAAAGCAAAAAGTTATACGACAATTGTAAGAATTATAAAACAGTGGTAAATACTGCTCATTTAGCATTAACTATGATAGAAATGATAGAAATGTGAAAATTGCCTTGTGAAGAGCTGGTGTTATCAGAACTTTTAAATATTTGGTCAGTACGTCGCCCTCTTGTATCCTTCACCATTTGCTCAGGTATCATAGATAAGCCTAAAGAAATGTGTATTTTTATATAAATTCAAATATAATATAAAATGCTCACCAATAACTTTTTTATATATATATGAACTTTTTTATAAAATTATTTATAGGTTTTTTTTCTTGTATTTAGAAGTATTATCACAACAGTTTTGTTTAAAATTTTTTTACTTGTAATATGTTTACTCATTATGAGGAAATGATGCCAAGTTATTCTTAAGCAACCAAAAGTTGTTCTATTGGATCATTCATGTCAAAAGAATACACCCATAGTATTATGGAATACCGAATTGCACGATATGAAGTACTTTAGAACTATAACATGTCTTTTTTAATTTTTGTAACTTATATCCTAGCATGAATGTTAAATTTGTGTCATTAATGTAAGTAAATTCATTCAAAAATCTGGCTGGTTACTTTGAAATAAGTTACAAACTAAACCTGTCAAATAAAAAAAATATCTTTCAAATTTATTTATTTTAATCTTCTAAACTAAATTTCAAAAACTTTTTTCATTCAAAAATCTGGCTGGTTACTTTGAAATAAGTTACAAACTAAACCTGTCAAATAAAAAAAATATCTTTCAAATTTATTTATTTTAATCTTCTAAACTAAATTTCAAAAACTTTCAAAAAGTTTATAGCGTGGCATATAATAGTCATAAATTAATTTTGCTATTGATTAAATATTTGTGAGAACATAAATTGTTCTATAGAGGATATTTTATTTGTGTAAAGCAACATACTAATTTTACATATAATTGCTTGTTTAAGAAGGTAACAATATTTTTTAAAATATGTTATTTTATTTTAAATTTTACACATTTTATATAAAAACACCATCACCATAAACTGACGAAAGAAATTATCTTTGACGTCTTTGATCTTGAAAAGCATATAATCGCTCTATGGTAAGCAATTGAAATTTTATTTTGCAACTCTTTATATATTTGTATTTCCAATTTCCTTTTTATTATGTTTTTAATTTTGATCCTACAAGTCTTAAAACGAAAAAAGAATTAGCGTTTAGTATTCTAATTTATTGAAAATAGTCCTTATCTATTAGGTTGTTCGGAAAGTAATTTCGTTTCTTCGAGGTGGTGAGTGAGTTCAGTGAGTTTCGCAGACATATAACAATGTGTTTGATGACGTTGTTCGATCGTCATATTTAAGGCTTTCACGAATGCCACGAAATTGGTAAAACATTTAATTAAAATTATGTACACGCAAGGTGAATATCGGTTATACATTAGGTACGCCTTTTCGTTATTGTTTTTGTTTTATGTTATTAGTGAAATATGCAATAAGGGTCTTTACTATAAAGATATTTAAATTACAATTCAAAGTAATACTTAATCTATCAGTTAAACTATTAAACTATGTTAATTTAAATATACTAGTTCTTAAAAAATTTCACTATCAAATGTACATTACGAATTTCAAAGTAATTTACAGTCGGTATTTTTAAAAAATCGTGACATTTAAATAAATTAAATTTTTTCCATGAAACACGTTTGTTATGTTCAGCAATGAACAATCGTCAAAGTTT